TATGGTGGAGACACTGAGGACAGACCATCTTATACAAAAACTAGGAAAATTGCCAGAAATAGGAAAACACAAATGAACACAGAAAAAATAAAACTAAGATGGAGGAGACATTTCATTCCTTAAGAAGCCTTTTACACACACAAACACCAAAAAATAAAAAATAATAATAACAACAAAATGAGGGACGCCTACTCAAAGAAAAACCATACCAAAAAAGTTGGATTTATGAAAATTTGCACCAAGATATTAGTTCGAGTAAACAAATAGGCAAACAAGAACAAATACCCAAAATGCACCTAAACCTACTTATTGCACGTAAATTTATCGATTTCAATCGTCCTATTCAGTGTGACCGCGGCATAATCACACAATACAACATTATTTGAGCGGTAGATACAATCTAGAAAGAATATCACGCCAGCCCAGTGCCAAAATCTAAAAATAATGAACGAGTTAAGGAGAAAAACAGACCTTATCAGAAGGATGGTCATCCTTGAGAAAATTCAAAGTTACAGTTTTCAAAAAGTAACTTTTAGCAAAAATCACTCCAGCCCAGTATAGGAATCTTGCCCAAAAAAAAAGGCAAAAGTAAAGGAGAAAAACAGAGACCTTAATAGAAGGGTCATCCCTGTGAAGAGAGGTGATTCTCAAATTATCAATATCCGGCTTCTGCCCATGCTTGTTACGAAATTCTTGAAGAGAAACTTCAATTTCAGCATTCGGAACGGCAAATCCACGGTCTCTCAGCATCTCCAATGTGGTTCTGCGAGCCAAATAGTATCGATGGCTTTCGATGCTACCATCATCAATGAAACCGCTCAGGCAGTTGCCCAAGCTTTCTCCGTCGACATCGGTGTCCACCCCATCTTCTTTCGTCATTTTTCCCTTCTGGTTAATTGGATTTGGGGGTCAGAGAGGTTTGGAAATGGGGTTTTTGAACTTGTTTATTTATTTCCCCTTATTCTATAGTCAGAGGCCCTTTGGCCAAAAACTTATCCGAACGGGTCTCAACTACGAAATTTTTACATAGTTAGCCCTACGTGGGCAAATTACCCGTCTAAGTGACCTAAGTCATCAAATCGAACCAATTCAAGTAGGTTTGGATCGATTTGGAGGAATGTTGGTTTAATTTTTGGATTGATTTAGTTCAACCTGAAAATTTTGATTTGAGTGGTTGGATTAAAAATAAGGGACATGCTACACTTACAAGTTCCTGTACAGGAACATTTTTCCCTAAACATAATAATATTTTTCAAGGATTTCAACCGACAACCCAAATCAATGGGTTGATTTTAATCGGTTTATTCATCTTCTCGTATCAATTTTAGGTTGGATTTCATTGATCCACTTCAAATTGTTGGTTCGATTGTCGAGATGGATCCGAACCCAACACAAACCTACCCCTATCCACCCTAATTAGGTTGTATTTGACAAAACTTTTTGAGATCATAAGTTGATGGATTACGTAAGATGTGTGGTTTAAAATTGATAAAAAATAAAAATTGTATATTTATTGAAATGTGTAACTAAAAATGGTGTTTACAACCTAAGATTTAGTAATGTCAAAAATAAAATGAGTTATCAAGGTCTAAATTGGCCCTTCTTAGACAAAAAGTCTGACTTCAAGTTGAAAGCACGATGGTCTAGCTTGTATGAATAAGCTAAATAAAAGAAATAATATCTAATTTAGAACAATGACACATTCATATCATAATCCCATCTCGACATCATTATCATTGGGAGGAACTTACAAGCTAATTTATATGAAGAAATTATCTTATAGAAAATTCACTTCATTTTTTGGCAAAATTGGTTACACATATTTTCAAAATTAACCTTTTTATTTAGTTCAAACTTTGAACTTCATTAGATGATAATTTTATTAAGCAAAGATAAATTTAGATTTCTATCTTTTACTACAATTTAGAAAAAAAAATCCAAGCTAGACAATCCAAACCAACCCAAATCGGACTACTATTTTGCATTTGAGTTCGGTTCAAACCGCATTTTAACTACCAACATTGAAGTATCAATTCTAAAGTTGTAGAGAAATTTCAAATTGTCTCTAAACTACCAAAATCGAAATCAAACCATTTTAAACAATTTGGTTCTTTACAAAATTGACACGTTGATGGGTCAACATGAAACTACACCAACCGATTCAAAGACACTGTTTAGAAACGATGGACAGTTTTTGCTTATAACCCAACTTTTGGCGAGCTATCTTGCATTCAATCTATTCGAATCTAGAAATATTTTGGGATGGCAATAATTTTTAAGATACATTCAGTGTTAAAATGGCGTGGAGGTCTAGTCCTCTTTAAAACATAAAATCGGGAATGCTCATTAAACATGCAATTCAGTATAAAGCTCAAGTCAAATCAGTAATTGACAACCAACCCAGCCAGTAACTACAGAAAACACCACACTTCTGCCCCCCGGGGCACATCCAAGTTGGCGGAACAATCACATTGGGGGGCTCTGGAACCAAGCGTGGGGAGTTCGATTCCTGGTGGGAACCTTTGATCCAATAAAGGAGGAATTATTGGTGGATTAATCACTATGGAGGAAAGCTCCCTTTGGGGAAGGAGTAAAAGCCGTGTGGGAACTTGGGAACCAACAATGGCACATCCCGTGATTTACCTCCCTGAGCTGCTGAGGGGCTGGAGGTTCAGGGACGAGGATATAGTCTGGCGCAAGCTGGGACACCTCGTTAAAAAAAAAAAAAACACCACACTTCTAGCTAGGTACCACCAAAGGAAGTGCAATTTTTGCACTGAAAATTCAAAAAAGAGTCACTAACTTCAAGAAAATTAAAATGTCTGACAACAAAAAGTCAACTTTTGAGCTTAGCCAAACAATAAGTTTTGAGGATATGAACAGCAGAATATCAGGTGACCTTTGACAACAGCAGCAGAAAGCTCCATAAACATCAGTAACTTGAGCCATAGCACGGAAAGATGTCAAAGATTTGCCAACTTCAATGGTTCTTTCTCATGATTCAACTATCTAATTCAGACAAAAAATCTTGAACTGAACTGTAAATGGGAAGGGTATTCGGTTGCTAAGATTTTGAGAGCAAGAACCAAACACGAACACTGTCATCTTGATATTAATCAAGCTGCTAGGTCCTACCTACACAACACTGATTAGACCTACTATTCTTTATGGTTACGAGTGTTCAACATTCATAGGGCAAAAAATCTATGAGATGAACCTAGCAGAAATGTGGATGCTAAGATGGACGTATAATAATGATCAAGAATGCAAAACAACTTTTAGAAATTAATTCTCCATGGCTGGATCATATACGTAAAAAGACACGAGAGCTGCTCTAATTACTATATCCTTAAGAATGATACTTATCGTCCCAATTTAGTTTATGGAGGCTTGAACTTCCAGCGACTTCAATGATTGTCCATTTCCTGCAAAAGTTAAAAATAAGACCTATTTTATAACAGACAGCAGGATGATCCCAATCAAAACATTGCAGGATAATTATGTCCTACATTAAAGAGAAATTTCAAAAACGGATAAAGTTCAAGAGAAGTATCTTTTGCTCCAATTACAGACAGCATGGCAGCATAGAGGTTTTACTTAATTCTGTATAATTCACTGGTAGGCATCTCAAAGAAAGAATAAAATTGAAAAACTAACCTTGCGTTCGTCCTTGCTGGAAGTGAAACCAGCTTCAGGCACTCAAACATTTTCAGGTGTGCCAACTCAAGATTCAAAGGGGAAAACGGAGAGAGAGGGATTGAATCCGAACGACTCACAGGCAATGAGTTTTTAAAATTTGAGATTTATCGATTTCAAACACAACGGAACTTCCATAATTTGGATATCGGGATTACATCCCATTTTCAATTCTTCAGCTCGATTCTAATGCTCAAGTCCAAGTTAAAAATGTCATCAAGTTTTCTCTGGCAGTGAAGAGATCACCTATGCAAATTCATCCAAACCATTTTACTCTATTCTAATGCAATACATAATGTAGGTTTCTGAACATTTCAACCATACAACATTTTTCCGTATGTTGAAAGCAACAGTATCATAATGTAAGAAGCTTTACAAACAGCATATTAATGACCAGACAGTTAATTCATGAAGTTGCAACAAATTAAAACTGCAAAAAACCTATCTTAAGGATACCGTTCAAGATCTAAAAAAGGCATAAATTGTTAATCAACAGGGTTTATTAATTTCACTTTTAATGTTATGAAATCCATTAGAATTATACCTATGAAAGAAAGCACAATCAGTACTAGCAGTTCAGCTAAGCTAATGCACAATCAGTACTAGCAGTTCAGCTAAGCTAATGCACCATTGAGTAATATGTGAGTCTCCAGGAAAAGGGGAAGAGGGACAGGTATCAACTTATCAAAAATTAGAATTCATTAGCAGGACTAAATCTAAGCAAGCATTTCCAAGCTATGAATAAAAGCAGAAATTAACTCTCACAAACAAAACAAGGAAACAATAGGTGACATTTGGAAACATGCACACAATGATACTCCTTTATTAGTTAATGTTGTTCAGAGACAATGAATAATAATATCCAACCGTTATAATATGCAGAAAGTTTACATAAAGGAGATTGAAACAAGACCCTAGACAAACAGTGAAATAGATACACATTCCATTAGAAGCAAAGCTCTATAAATAGCCTCAGAAATAAGTTCCAAACAATAGTTTTCACTGAGCAGCAGTAACACTCAAGGGAAACAACCAGAGCATCGTATCAATCCATTCTCATTGCAATTGGGGCACCTCCTCATTCTTCCTTCATCTTCTTCATAAATCTTCCGACTTCCATTGCAATTTGGGCATGGAACAAACCTTGCATCCCCACAAATCTCACACACAAACACCAAATCCATAAGCCGAAAACCTTTCAAAAGCTTAGCCAACTCTCCAGCCTCATTAAGCTGCTTTATCTCCTCTGCTCCACCAATGTATTTCCCCCTAATAAACACTTGTGGCAAGCTCACAGCCTTGACTTTCAATGCCTCCTGCAACTCCTTTCTATATGACGAGTCCATAGAAATATCCCTCTCGTCCACACACACTTTATATCCCCTGAAAATCCCCCTTACAGCACAACAATCCTCATAACTCTTCCTAATCCCCCTCAAGCTAGTGTAATACAAAATAATTCGATCTTCAGCACCAGATAAATACAACTCATTATCAGTTGACACAAAAGAACTCACGCTATTTAATTCCAAAGACTCAATCCTTTTGGTTTTCGAGATATCTTTGGTCTTTTCATATCCATCCTGTCTGGCAAACAGTGCCTTTCGATAACGCGAGACTACATTGGGATCCATTTTTGCTAGCAACGATTCCTCAGATAAATGCTTCCACAACGGCTTGGTATCCGTGTGCTCTACAAACTCATAGGATTTCATTAGCTCACCAAGCTCTTTTCTGTTGGACTTCTTTGGGTAGTCAATGATGTGGAAATTGAATTCATCGTCATCAAGCCCTTCCATGAGCTCCCAAGTATTGATAACCGAGTCTGAGGACAAAGGGTCCTCAGAACGGCCATAAACTTGGCCCTTTTTCAAATGCGGAGTCAGAATGTCGAAATCTTGGCCATTGAAATTGGTGTTTGGGGGTTCAACGAGTACAAGGGAACCATAAGTGGTGGAGGTCAAGGAAACAAAGTGATTAGAATCCCCTTTACATAGAGGTGGATGGTGGACCAAAGGGGTAGGGAGAGATAGAGTTCTTGATATAGGAGTTGAACAAGGGTCTGAAAATGGAGACTGCAACTGGGAATTTGAATGTGAATAAGAAGAATTCGAGTTGGGATTTTGCTGTTGTGTGATGAAATTACTGGGACGAGAAGCTGAACACCCCATTATGATTATACCTAGAAAAAATAGCCAACAGGGTTCGAGAAAATGAAAGTTGGATCTCTTTTCAATCCTCTCTTTCTTTGTAAAGTAAAATCATTGGTTTATCCTTTTTTCTTTTTGGTCTTTTAGTTATTAAACCTTTTTGGATTTGTAGAATGTAGAAGATTTGGTTAATAATTGAGATTTGGGAGTCTTGGAGATGAACCAGTTGGTGGGAAATTGTTGTCAAGAGCAGGAGGAGGAGGGTGGTGAAAGGGGAGGAGCAAAGAAGAAGGGTGAAGGGAATTGAATGCAGTGTTAGATAGACCGGGCGTTGAAAGTGGTAATTGACAAAGACAGCAAACAAGCAGGACGAGTAAAAAGTTTGATTGATCACCAAACTTAGCACAATTTCACGATGTAGTCACTGAACTTCCGTTTGCTGCTCAAAAGTCATTGAACTTACAAACATACCACTCCATCCATCACCTGCTGCCCCATCCGTTTGAACCCATATCACGTGGCTTGACGGCAGGTGACGTGGCTATCGACAGCGTCAAACTCGACCACGGTGGACGCGATTTCACAGCCAAAACACGACCCTTCACCATTTCCCAACCCATAAGTCTCTCATCCCTAATTCGAGGCCCTAGATCGATTCTTCCACACCTCACAGGCGAAATTGCCAGAAGTTCTTTGCCTTCACAGCAACACCAGATGCAGGTCGTGTCGTCGTCTTCGTCTTGAGAATGAACATTTTTTTTTATGTTGAAGTTAATTGGTAATCTATTGCTAGCATATGAAATACATAGAATTGCCGGTCCCCTTTTCTGTAATGTTATTGAATTCTATTCAAAGAATTTTGATCTCTAAGGGAGCTATTATTGATAATCATTCTGTATTGTTGGTAGCCAAACATTCTCTTTAAGCTTATACTGCTATTGATAATCATTATGTGCAGCATCGATTTCTTTATCTATTATGTTAATGGTTTTGACTACTAGTATTATTAGTTTTGGTGGATTGAACATTACAACATGAATGCGCACAATGGGTGTAAATTGCATAATTCTTTTTGTTATGGAAACTGATATGCTATCTTAATTTAATGTAAATGTTTATTCAAAAACAAGTTTGGATTGAAACATTCCTTTGATAACCAATACTTTTTTTTTCCTGTTTGGGTACCCTCTTTAACAGATTATAATCATATACGTAAAAAGACACGAGAGCTGCTCTAATTACTATATCCTTAAGAATGATACTTATCGTCCCAATTTAGTTTATGGAGGCTTGAACTTCCAGCGACTTCAATGATTGTCCATTTCCTGCAAAAGTTAAAAATAAGACCTATTTTATAACAGACAGCAGGATGATCCCAATCAAAACATTGCAGGATAATTATGTCCTACATTAAAGAGAAATTTCAAAAACGGATAAAGTTCAAGAGAAGTATCTTTTGCTCCAATTACAGACAGCATGGCAGCATAAAGGTTTTACTTAATTCTGTATAATTCACTGGTAGGCATCTCAAAGAAAGAATAAAATTGAAAAACTAACCTTGCGTTCGTCCTTGCTGGAAGTGAAACCAGCTTCAGGCACTCAAACATTTTCAGGTGTGCCAACTCAAGATTCAAAGGGGAAAACGGAGAGAGAGGGATTGAATCCGAACGACTCACAGGCAATGAGTTTTTAAAATTTGAGATTTATCGATTTCAAACACAACGGAACTTCCATAATTTGGATATCGGGATTACATCCCATTTTCAATTCTTCAGCTCGATTCTAATGCTCAAGTCCAAGTTCAAAATGTCATCAAGTTTTCTCTTGCAGTGAAGAGATCACCTATGCAAATTCATCCAAACCATTTTACTCTATTCTAATGCAATACATAATGTAGGTTTCTGAACATTTCAACCATACAACATTTTTCCGTATGTTGAAAGCAACAGTATCATAATGTAAGAAGCTTTACAAACAGCATATTAATGACCAGACAGTTAATTCATGAAGTTGCAACAAATTAAAACTGCAAAAAACCTATCTTAAGGATACCGTTCAAGATCTAAAAAAGGCATAAATTGTTAATCAACAGGGTTTATTAATTTCACTTTTAATGTTATGAAATCCATTAGAATTATACCTATGAAAGAAAGCACAATCAGTACTAGCAGTTCAGCTAAGCTAATGCACAATCAGTACTAGCAGTTCAGCTAAGCTAATGCACCATTGAGTAATATGTGAGTCTCCAGGAAAAGGGGAAGAGGGACAGGTATCAACTTATCAAAAATTAGAATTCATTAGCAGGACTAAATCTAAGCAAGCATTTCCAAGCTATGAATAAAAGCAGAAATTAACTCTCACAAACAAAACAAGGAAACAATAGGTGACATTTGGAAACATGCACACAATGATACTCCTTTATTAGTTAATGTTGTTCAGAGACAATGAATAATAATATCCAACCGTTATAATATGCAGAAAGTTTACATAAAGGAGATTGAAACAAGACCCTAGACAAACAGTGAAATAGATACACATTCCATTAGAAGCAAAGCTCTATAAATAGCCTCAGAAATAAGTTCCAAACAATAGTTTTCACTGAGCAGCAGTAACACTCAAGGGAAACAACCAGAGCATCGTATCAATCCATTCTCATTGCAATTGGGGCACCTCCTCATTCTTCCTTCATCTTCTTCATAAATCTTCCGACTTCCATTGCAATTTGGGCATGGAACAAACCTTGCATCCCCACAAATCTCACACACAAACACCAAATCCATAAGCCGAAAACCTTTCAAAAGCTTAGCCAACTCTCCAGCCTCATTAAGCTGCTTTATCTCCTCTGCTCCACCAATGTATTTCCCCCTAATAAACACTTGTGGCAAGCTCACAGCCTTGACTTTCAATGCCTCCTGCAACTCCTTTCTATATGACGAGTCCATAGAAATATCCCTCTCGTCCACACACACTTTATATCCCCTGAAAATCCCCCTTACAGCACAACAATCCTCATAACTCTTCCTAATCCCCCTCAAGCTAGTGTAATACAAAATAATTCGATCTTCAGCACCAGATAAATACAACTCATTATCAGTTGACACAAAAGAACTCACGCTATTTAATTCCAAAGACTCAATCCTTTTGGTTTTCGAGATATCTTTGGTCTTTTCATATCCATCCTGTCTGGCAAACAGTGCCTTTCGATAACGCGAGACTACATTGGGATCCATTTTTGCTAGCAACGATTCCTCAGATAAATGCTTCCACAACGGCTTGGTATCCGTGTGCTCTACAAACTCATAGGATTTCATTAGCTCACCAAGCTCTTTTCTGTTGGACTTCTTTGGGTAGTCAATGATGTGGAAATTGAATTCATCGTCATCAAGCCCTTCCATGAGCTCCCAAGTATTGATAACCGAGTCTGAGGACAAAGGGTCCTCAGAACTGCCATAAACTTGGCCCTTTTTCAAATGCGGAGTCAGAATGTCGAAATCTTGGCCATTGAAATTGGTGTTTGGGGGTTCAACGAGTACAAGGGAACCATAAGTGGTGGAGGTCAAGGAAACAAAGTGATTAGAATCCCCTTTACATAGAGGTGGATGGTGGACCAAAGGGGTAGGGAGAGATAGAGTTCTTGATATAGGAGTTGAACAAGGGTCTGAAAATGGAGACTGCAACTGGGAATTTGAATGTGAATAAGAAGAATTCGAGTTGGGATTTTGCTGTTGTGTGATGAAATTACTGGGACGAGAAGCTGAACACCCCATTATGATTATACCTAGAAAAAATAGCCAACAGGGTTCGAGAAAATGAAAGTTGGATCTCTTTTCAATCCTCTCTTTCTTTGTAAAGTAAAATCATTGGTTTATCCTTTTTTCTTTTTGGTCTTTTAGTTATTAAACCTTTTTGGATTTGTAGAATGTAGAAGATTTGGTTAATAATTGAGATTTGGGAGTCTTGGAGATGAACCAGTTGGTGGGAAATTGTTGTCAAGAGCAGGAGGAGGAGGGTGGTGAAAGGGGAGTAGCAAAGAAGAAGGGTGAAGGGAATTGAATGCAGTGTTAGATAGACCGGGCGTTGAAAGTGGTAATTGACAAAGACAGCAAACAAGCAGGACGAGTAAAAAGTTTGATTGATCACCAAACTTAGCACAATTTCACGATGTAGTCACTGAACTTCCGTTTGCTGCTCAAAAGTCATTGAACTTACAAACATACCACTCCATCCATCACCTGCTGCCCCATCCGTTTGAACCCATATCACGTGGCTTGACGGCAGGTGACGTGGCTATCGACAGCGTCAAACTCGACCACGGTGGACGCGATTTCACAGCCAAAACACGACCCTTCACCATTTCCCAACCCATAAGTCTCTCATCCCTAATTCGAGGCCCTAGATCGATTCTTCCACACCTCACAGGCGAAATTGCCAGAAGTTCTTTGCCTTCACAGCAACACCAGATGCAGGTCGTGTCGTCGTCTTCGTCTTGAGAATGAACATTTTTTTTTATGTTGAAGTTAATTGGTAATCTATTGCTAGCATATGAAATACATAGAATTGCCGGTCCCCTTTTCTGTAATGTTATTGAATTCTATTCAAAGAATTTTGATCTCTAAGGGAGCTATTATTGATAATCATTCTGTATTGTTGGTACCCAAACATTCTCTTTAAGCTTATACTGCTATTGATAATCATTATGTGCAGCATCGATTTCTTTATCTATTATGTTAATGGTTTTGACTACTAGTATTATTAGTTTTGGTGGATTGAACATTACAACATGAATGCGCACAACGGGTGTAAATTGCATAATTCTTTTTGTTATGGAAACTGATATGCTATCTTAATTTAATGTAAATGTTTATTCAAAAACAAGTTTGGATTGAAACATTCCTTTGATAACCAATACTTTTTTTTTCCTGTTTGGGTACCCTCTTTAACAGATTATATATGTTTTGGTGTTGTGTCTGGTGTATATGGTGCTCTATAGTAAATGGTTACTCCCCAGATTATACAAGCCTGGCAGCAGAAACCAATCAATGCCTGAAGTGCCGTTTAACTTTGAGGCCATTGGTGTTATCCAGACAGTTGGCTGCCCGTGGTGCAAGTAGCAATGGGTTACATTGTACACCACATAACCCAGTAGACTACCTCCAAATATTCCAGGAGCTGTAGGAGTAGCTATAAATTTTGTCAAGTTCCAAACTGGCACCAAGAGAATAGCAGTTACGGCAGGAGGGAAGAAAAGGTGTAGACCATCCATGGGGTGCTTATGATGACAACCATGAAGAAGATAATGAATAGTGTTTCCCCAGTAGTTATTGGTCTTGATGTGAAAAAGGGAATGATGCATAGTGTATTCTAGCATTGTCCAAGTGAAGATGCCAACTGCCATCACCAATGCCACTTGAGGTACTGTAAGCTCCATTCGAATGTTTCAAGATGAACCAGAAAACAACTGGGATCCAAATGAGGGGAATTACATACCACTTTGCGAGTGTCAAAAACTCCTAAAAATCACTTTCAAAAAATCGAGGGCCTTCCTTGCTCACAATTGGCTGGGGAGCCCACTCCTGATAGGCCTTCCTTTCCGCAAGAGAAGAGGAGTTACGGAGGATATAGGGATAGAGAAGGGAATAGCTTCACGAACTCTTTCATTTTAGTAGTTCAATTTGTTTGTAATCATGCTTTTGGAGTTAATGTAGTGGATGTATCTATTGATGCAGCTTATGAAGTTTATGTAGCTTTATTTGTATTGCTATTAACAACTGATTCGAACTAGAATGCATGTCTTGTTGATTTTGGAGTTAATGTAGTTGCTTTTGTATCGTTGCCCCCAAAGTTTGTACCTGCATGCCTTTCATATAACAAAAATTAGTTTGTTCTCTTAAATGATCTCTTTTAGTTCAAGTATAAAACTATGATAAGGAGACAAACGACAACTTACATTCACTAACGGTTCATGGCCAACGACAGTCTTACAACCTTGTATTTCACGTGGTGTGCAAATGGCATAGAAGTTTTACGAGCATGCAACACTTCACTGGAATTGAACTTCTATGAGCAACATCACTCGTGAAAGTAGAAAACTTCAAGCTAGTAAAAGACCATATTCAACAGAACAGCTCTCATTACAAATTTACAAGACACCAATTGTGATATCAAAAGAAAGTCTCTAATATCTGCGGACAATTAACATACAAAACAAAAATTTGCCGATTTCAATAGGCAAAAACTTCACAGCAAATGAGTAGCAAGACAGCAAAAAAAAATCCAGTTAACATGGGAACAAAATCCGATTAAAATTGTCTGATATACTTACACAATAAAAACCATCCACAAGAACGCATGATGATATTGCCTAAACATCTAACTTATAAACAACAGGGGAATATGATGTCCGTCATTGCATGAAGACCACATCGAAGTGACCATCCAATTGTTCACAAGTCAGTTATGTCGTGCCTTTTCACTCTCAATCTTGAAGATTCAGCCTCATCTATGTCTTGCAACTCATCAACCAAAGTGGCTGCTGGTCTAGATCTAAGCATACCAGTCTGTGTTTCTCCCGCAACCATAGGCATAGGCATGAATTGCATTTGACGGTCTTCATGCACGTTATCGTTCGATGAGCCCCTTCCTCTTGCGCCTATCAGTCTACCCTATAAAATCAAACAAACAAAATCGACCTGCAATGTATAATATCGACCATATTTCATGAAGAAATTAAAAGTACCCAGTTCATATGTAAAGAAAACAATAAACCTAACTCTTGATCTGTAAAGAACGTGAAAACAATTATTTCACCTTAGGTATAAACATTTAAACTAAATAACTTTATTCGCTCATTCGGTAGAAAAATTAAACTACCAACCAATGCATATACAACTGTAAAAATTCCATGTTCAGATTCAGGCCACAAGTTATAGAGTGATTATAGAGGGATTTCATTGAAGTACATTTGAAAATAATATCTGCTAACATGAGACTTTGTAATAAAACTTATTACACCAACATTCCCAACTATATGCAGCTAAAAATTTGAGGAACATTAGACAAATTACTCGTGTAATCCACCCATCAACCACTCCAAAAATAACAAAAGGTTTCGAACAAAGAGCATTTTCAAACCAACACAAATATCAATTTCTGTGAGATTTTTAACATGTAACTAAATCAACCTAATCGATCACTAAACATCCTAAGTGAAGAAGGGTTACAAATACATGAATCAAACGGAGTTTTTCTCACGGTTGGTTGGGCTCCTATGGTTTCCTCCTTTGCATTTTGAACGTTTAGGTAACGGGATGTGGTTCAAAGTTTATGGGTTGAAAATCACCTGCAGTCGGGGATGGTGTCCATTGGAAGATGAAGAACTTCTGGCAATTTTGCCAATGAGGTGTGGAAGAATCGATTTGGGGGAGGATTTGGAAGGAAATTGATCTAGGGCTGGATGTACGAATTAGGGATAAGAGACTCATAGGTTGGGGAAATGGAGAAGGGTTGTGTTTTGGCTGTGAAATCACGTCCACAGTGGTTGAGTCTGACGCCGTCAATAGCCACGTCGCCTACCGTCAAGCCACGTGAGATGGGTTCAAA